CTGATGCATTTGTTGTGTTTTTTTGTGTTGACAAGGCCAAGTTATCTATGCTTAACGTTCGTTTCTTTTTCTCACGTGGGCTAAAAATATTGGACATTTCGATATCGACAAAAGCCTGTATTAATATAAAAGACAAAAATAACAAACATGTTTACAGTGCATTAATATAAAAGAAAGTAATTTAGTGCTCGTAGGCGAAAAAAAATGTTTTATTAACAGGTAAACAAATCATACATAAAATGCGTCGTCACAAACAGGTGTATAACCAATTATGTTTTTTTTTTTTGATACGTAGAATGACTGATCAATAATATATATATATAAATATATATATATAAATATATCATCGACAGAAACCCAAGTACGATTTGCATATACAAACAAAGTTGAATTTAACCATTGTCACATAATGCGCTATATTCAAAATCGACTAGTATTTTTATCGATCTTATGTTTATTCATACTTATCGATGAAATACATCCACTTAGAGTTCGTATGCCTTCTCTAAGACTATCGGCAACATTTAGCAAAACAGCTGCATATATTAAAAAAAAGCTTTCCATCAATCACGAGAGAATGGCTAATTCACAACGCCCATCAACATTAAAAGATCCTTTGCAAGAGAACATCGACGAATTGTAATGTATTTTTTCAATCATTTTGTTGTGAACAGTTTCTATAGATGTAATATATTCTTTATATGTGTATAAGAATTAATTTGTCTCTAAAAAAAAATAACTTTCTATAATATACTTCTATCTATAAATGAAATAAAAAGTAGAAATTGTAAAAGATTCATGGAAAATCATCATTCATTATGTTATGATCATAAATTTTTACTTGTTTTATCAAATTATCGAAAAATTCAAGACTATATATAAATACTTCTCTGTCAAAATAAACGATATATCTTAGCTTTTCGATTACTTAATTCACTATAACAACTTCAACCCTATAGAATGAAAATTTGTTAAAAAAGGTACAAACATGTCTTATGCAGTTATATAACAATGAAACGAAAATTTACTGTTTTCTTCCTGAATTTCTCTTTTTTTATTTTTCAATGACATTAACTGTTGATGCATAAATTTGAAATTTCTCGATTTGGTTTGCGGTGTTAAAAGATTTTAGCAAGATTCCTTGGTAAAACACCTAGAAAAAAAACCCATAGAAGTTGATTCATTCATCGAAGATTGATACTATTCAAAGCAGCAAAAACAAACACACTGAGCAAGAAAAGAGTAAATTTTCTTTTCATTATTATATGGATTACACCAGACATATTTATATCTTTCTCAACGAATTTTTATTCTATATGGCTGAAATTTTCATAGGGAGCTCCGTAATCGAACATGCGTGTGCAGTATAAATATGAGCTCAAACGGTAAACACAAAAAGAAAGAATTAATTGAAAAACTCAGTTATGTCCTTGACTTAGGTCATAAGGACATACATATCCCGTTATTGAATAAATCTTTCTAAAATAAATCTTATGAATATTTTTATCGATCAATTTAATATGCATACAATATTAACAATGAAAGGAAGTGCAATATGGTAAATGATCAATCAAAAAACTTATTTCCTTCAATAAAAAGTAATCGATTGACTTTTTTCCGTTCATTTTCTTAAACAGAGAAATGATCTCAAAGGACATTCTCTATTTAAGCTCATATTATTTTCATAGATATGACCATATTGTGTAAATAGATCTTAAAGAAGATTAATTATGTGACTACTTGTTAACGAAGCAAGGACTATGAGAAGTTGAATTTTCCATACAGTTTTCAGTTCTTATCATATTTCAATATGACACATATTTTTTGATTATCAAAGGTTTTTTTTCGTCTTATTATTCAATATAAGTAGAGTAGAGATATGCAAGGTAATCTTTTTTCGTATCTTGTAACTTTGCTGAGAAAAATTTTGTAACTCTTACCGTACCTTGTAGAATGGGTCAAGGAAGACACAACGAACTTCAAGGTTTCATGAGGACTCACGGAACTTCGACATATTTCATGGAATTTCAAAAGACTTCAAGACTAAAGTTTCTTCTGCTTTCTTTTCAAGTACGGGTATCCATCACATTTTTAAAGTAGATTCATTCCTTCTTTTTAGAACACGATAAATCGTGTAGTGAACTGAACATGAAATGGTGATTCTTTATGAAGTTGATTGATATTATGCACTTATTTATCGATCAGATATAAATTTAAATAAGGAAATATCATTGAATTTAATAGTTCAAATATTTTCTGTTAAATCTTTTATAAAACGATGCATGTGTTTACTTTTGTATGGATGCTCTATAAAAAAAAATAACAGAGTATTTCGGAACTTTATTGAACATGCTTTCACAGTTTGTATTATAAAAGCGAAATCGATCGATTGTAAGGTGCTGGAAATGCAAAGGTAAAAGCAGGCCAATTTTTTCTTTTTGTATATATGTTTAGAATTTTATTTTTTTGAAATATGGTTTTAGGCGAAAAATTTCAGTATTCTTCAATGATCTAGTTTTTTCTAAAAAAACGACCTCAATTTTCCATCACCGAAAAAATTGTCAATTTTTTTTTGTTTCTTTCAAATTTCAGAATTGTTTGTTTTAAATTCAGTATGAAAGACTGTATATAGGAAAGTTATTGACAAATAACTACTCTAGATATAGTTTTTCATACTGAATCTAAAACAAACAGTTTTGAAATTTGAAGAAAACAAAAAACAGGTGACAATTTGTCGGTTATCGAAAATTAAACTCGTTTTCACAAAAACTAATTAGATCATCGGAGAATACTGAAATTTTCCCCCTAAAGTCCTATTACACAAAAAAATGAAAATACATATAGTCCTGATCAGTTCGTCACCCTCGACCTAAACATATATATAAAAACAAAAAGAAAAAAATAAGTCTGCTTTTATTTTTGCATTTTCGGTACCTTACGGATATTTGATAGAATTGAAGGAAAGAGAAAAGGAACAATATTGATATAAATAAGAATCTGATCAGATGTTCATTCCATAAGAATAACACGAATGGTGGTCATCAACACAATTATATCTTTGATCAACAACAATATATCAGTAAAATGTTAAAGAATACTATTTCAGCTGATTAACACATAGAACTATATTCAATACCCATACACTGACGACATCTTCAATACGATATTATTTTTATTATTTTTAAATCGAGCAATCAATTGTGCGACGTATTTTATCCTGTTGATTCTTTGTTAACCAAGAAAGCAAAATAAAAAAAGTATTGCAAAAGGAACTAGCAATTCGTCGAAAAAAATTTTATTTATTTTTTAGATAGATAATCGTTGTGAAGTTTTATTCATAATCAAATATGTCTATTGGGGTACCAATTAAAATTTTACATGAAGCTGAGGGTCATATTGTTACAATAGAATCTGTAACATCTGAAGTTTATCGTGGTAAATTAATTGAAGCAGAAGATAATATGAATTGTCAATTATCAAATGTAACCGTTACTTATCGTGATGGACGACAAGCACAATTGGAATATATCTATGTACGTGGATCAAAAATTCGATTTATGATTTTTCCCGATATGTTAAAGGTAGAAAAAAAACACCACCATTTAAATTTGTGTAATAGATTGATTTTCATTTTTTTTTAAGAATGCACCAATGTTTAAAAATATGCGTGGTGTTAAAGGTGGTGCTGGTCGTGGCAAATCAGCTATATTACGTGCTCAAATAGCTCGTGGACGAGGAGCTCGTGGTCGACCACCAATGAATTCATTTGTTGGACAAGCAGGTGGTCGTGGTGGTGGACCACCAGGTAGTGATCGTGGTGCTATGGGTGGTGGACGTGGTCGTGGTGATCGTTAAAAATGACTTCGATCATAATTAAGTCAGATCTAGCCGATTTGTTTTTTAAAGACATTATTCAAGATGATCATTTATTGTTGTTTTGTCATTGTTCCAAGTTTTTGCTCTGTGAAAAAAAAAGAGAGAGAATAAAAAATTCTTTACTATGAACAAAACGAATGATTATCATAACAAAATTACATTAAATTTTTTCCTTTGAGTAATCAAATTTTGTATTTGTTATGCAACGGATTTTCTTTTTGCATTAAAGCTTTTATTGATTGATTAATATAGATTAGAGAAAACCAAAATAGCAAGATATATTTGTTCCTGAACCTGTATTAGGTATTAGTCAATATTTTGTTACGACAGATTTCTGTCAGCTTTTATTAATCAACTTTTTATAGCAAAAAAAAGAATATATTCAATGTAAAATAAAGACTATATGACAAGTTTCTATAAACGAATCACAAGAATACTATTATGATATTGTTAGATTAGATTTGATGTCAAACTTCTATTTTTTGAATCTTTCATCTGATTGACTAAGTTCTAATGTTCTTCTTTTATTCATCAACTTAAAGAAAAAAAAATACATATCTTTAACGAGTTTTAATACGATGACTATCTCAGACATACTTTGATGTTTGTAATGTCTAACTTTTATTAAAGTAAAAATGAGCTTTTTTTTTGAGTTTTATTTGATCATTTATGATATAGGTTCTATTCTTATCGAAAAAACAATGAAATACATAAGTCATGTCATATCTGTCAATCGTTCTTGCCGGAGGCGTAACTGGGAGGATGCAGAATGATTGAATCCTGAAAAATAGAGCGGTGCGTAAGCAATTTTCAAAAGTAGGAGGCGGAGCATGGTGTGGAGCAATTTCAGAATCAGAGAGGTGGCACACCTCTGGCTCTTTTAATAATTTCAAAAGGTAAATTCATTTGTTGGACATATGTAATAAATTGAAAGAGAAATATTTATTTGATCGAGAACATTTTATATAATGAAAATATGTCACATATCTTTTCTTGCATAGAAAATATTTATTAAAAATTTATCATTCTCATTTTATAAATTAAACATATAATGCAAAAATTTAATAAACACTATAAAAATTCAATTTCTTTCAAATTATTGTAAAAAAAAGAAAAACAATTATTTATGATCGAAATAATGTTTTAGGAAAATTAGGTCCAGGACAAATACGTCCAATTGATATTTCATCATGAAAATAAGTGTCAATATTTGGATAACGATTACGAATATCATTGACTAAATCCAAACCAGATAATATTTGTATTTCGGGCATTATATTATCATTAGTTTTATTACGTGAAAATTCGATTCCAATACAATAACTATTTGGATTGCCTTTATTAGCTAATATAGAATTATGTGAAACAACACCAGCATGCCAAGCTGTATTTGCCTCACTTACCATTTGTGTAATTTTACCATCTTGTCCAACAACATAATGAGCTGAAACTTTACTTGCTGGATTTAAAAACCATTCAATTGTACCACCTCCTGCTGTTCCATGTAGAACAAGACCCTTGAAATAGAATTTTTTTTTTCTTAAATTAAATTTTAATTTATATTTATATTTTACACTAATTGGTGCTAATCGACCAATTGTATAATTAGGTGATGCTATTTTATATGCTTTAGAATAATCGACTTTCCAATTATCGTTTGCTATAATAAGAAAAACATAAAAGACAAAAATGGTTCAAATGAGAAAAAAAAGAAAATTCGTTTAAATTTCTCTATATGGAATAAAATATATTTTTATATCTCGTCGATCACTCACATGAAATAAAAGAATGATTATTGTCAGATTTAATCGTTTTTTCTTGCGTGCTCATTATATTAAAGGATTTCTTTTCTTTTTTTTGAGTTCTTTATTGTATTTATTTCGATCTTCTTCTTCTTGACAATATATATGCTCGATTACTCACATATTATATTAATCCAAAATATATAAAATGTCAAAAAAAAAATTCTTTTTCTAACATAAAAGAAATTCGTATTATTCTTGTAGAGTAATTATTTTTGAAACATCGAATCAAAAAATAAATATAAATTATTCTGTAATGTTTGCGCCCTCTGTTTGTTCCTTTTCACTATTGGAGTTTTCCATTGAGCCATTTATATTGTCGTTCACCTCCTCCGGTTTATATGAGTACGCCATGATTTGTGTTTTTTTTTTGTTCTATATATGTAGATTTTTTTTTTCTTTTTCTTTTTCTTTTGTTGTTACTTGTCTCAAGTGGTTTTACTTATTGCAAATACCGCTTAATAATTAGTTTTAGATCAAACATTTATTTTTATAATCTGTTATTTTATTTAATAAAAACAAATTTATAAATTGTTTGTTTTCTTAAATTATGGTTATGCCATTATCAAATACGAAATTACGTATACCAAAAGGTTTTCAAAGTCTTTTAGTTGGTTTATCAACTGAAATTCTTCGAAGTCAACCAAGAAATATTCCTAAATTTGCTGCTGAATATTTTGAAAAATTACTTCAACGAAGAGGTAAGAGTAAATTTTGGTGTTTTTTGTTTTTGAAATCTTAAAATTCGATTTAACATTATTATAAATACAAGAAATAATTTTCTATTAGTTGTTTTTCATAACATTTACATATATTTAATATTTCTTGTTTTTTTTCATGTGAAATGACTTTCTAGAATGTTTGTTTTCTTTGATTGTTGTACGGAAAGCAAATCATTGATCTTAAAAAGTATTAGATACTCTCGCATGATTACATCGCGTGTGAATATTTGATAGTAAAAATTTCCTTTTGTGATTATAAATTATTTGCTAAGAGACTGTTGAATGAATATAACATCGATAATATTTTTTTTTTAAATATTGAATGATTGTACTCAATAGAAAATCTTTTTATTTAAATCGTATATACAATATTATTCGCTTGAATAACTGCTCTTGTCATGTAGAAAGACTGATGAATTGTATTAATGATTTGTTGGTAATCATCAACGGATGTATGCATGCATGCATGCATGGATATATTTGATGTAACTGTCATCACAGTGAACATCGTCGATTGATGTTAATTCTTCTATCATTCTTTTTTTTTTTTTCTTTGTCTCATTGATTTTATATATCTAGTGTGTATCAAATTTTCCGTTTGATGACAGTTTACCATCCTCCAATGCGTTATCATTGTTCGTGCATACACAGTGAATTTTAGTGGTATATTTTATGTATGATTGTCTATTGGTAATAATGTTGATAGCATCTCTAATCTAATCATTCTCGACAACATACATTAGAAGCGAAGAGACACATACAATGTGGAATTATTTCGTTGTTTGTTTGCATTTGTCTATCGGATGCTATTCGGCCTTCCTTCCCTCCCAATCAATTATTCATATGATGAAAGGAATGCCGAAAAAAAAATAAGAGCAATCACTAGGGTTCATACAATTGCAAGAGTACAGATAATATGCATACACATAAACTAAAAATGACAGTCTCATTTGACTACTTTATTTTTCTACTCATGTGCATGTATATGCTTATATATGAAGATTAGCTCGGCACAGCAAAAAAGATAGGAATGACTAATTCCTCATGAGAATCCTAATAAATAGTGGATCAAAGTCACTGGCGAAACGAGCAAAAAAGCGATAGAATGAAAGAAGCGAAAAGAAATTGGTACCACTCAGCCTCAGGCATATATATGTAATTTATTTTGAAATGAAAAAAAAAAAGAAACTTTTATTACTACTTTTCTTTTCCTTTCTTGACTCGGGCAAGCATCCTCGACTTATGAATGCATAGCAGGCAACAGCTTGCATGATGAGGAAAAGTTCATCAATCTGATACATGAGAAATATTTCTCTTGTTTGCTCATTCTTTTTTTTTTTCTACTAAATATAGAGAATATAAGGGAAAAAGAGACCGCCGAGAAAGAAAGAAAAAAGAGGAGAAGAGTAAGAACAGCCTTAATGACAAAACACTCTTTTATTATTACTACGGCTGCTATTGCATCTACTACTTCTTCCATACATTTACCAACATCGACTAAGACGATCTAGAAAGGAGAAGAAAGAAAAAGAGTAAGACGCCAACGACAAGAAAATGGGTGCATGTGCATCAAAAAACAAAAAAAACAAGGAAAAATACCTGAAAAATGATGTGATTAATACCGGTAATAATAATAATAACAATAACCATAAAGATTCAATTATTGAACAAGTACAACAACAACAGCAACAACGAAAGTCATCATCAACTAATGTTGATAAATTTCCTAATGTTCCATTTATTGATTCAGAAGAAAAATTAACTACAGCTACTCCACCACTATCAACAGAACAATCAATACCAATTAATCATGATAAAGAAAATGATGAACGAACAACCATTAAAACAAATTTTGAAACTAATGTATCCTATTCAAATGTTGAAACAATTGACAAACTTAAACAAGAAGTTTATACATTTCTTCGAGAAAAAATTTTTCCAATTAATGAAGAAAAACAAAAACTTATTGATTATGTACACAAACGTATGATGGGAAGTTCAACAGATAATAAAATAATTGATGAAAATCTTGAGAAATGTTTTACTGACATTAAACAAAATCAACATCCTGATAGTGATAATAATAATAAAATAAAAAATCGTTTAATGAATATAATAGCTGTTTATGTAGCATCACAATCATCAGATAATTCATTTTTAAAAGCACTTTATGATAAATTGGGATCATCACTTGATCTCAATTCATTAAATGCTGAAACAAAAGAACATGAAATTGTTAATGTAACAGTAACAAAAACTGTACGACAAGTTTTTGTTGATACTTCATCATCATTAAAATCACCAAATGAAAATTCTAATGGAACAAAAAATATATCCGAAAATGTTATACATATATCAAATAATGAACATCACATTCCGGCTGATTTACCTGATGATATACGACGTAAAGCAGAACAAGTATTGAATAGTTTTAATGATGTTATACATACAAAATAAAATTAAATAGAACATTTTTGTTGGTTTTTCTTTTTTCTATCGCTTTATGTGCCTATTTCTATCAATAGTTATTAATCAATTTGAACGCTTTTCTGTTGTTCGTCTTGTCTGCTAGTGTATGTGTGTATATGTGACATTCATACAGATGAAGAAAAGTGCTATGACACTTTAAAACAAAATTAATAATTTATGAAAAGAATAAGTATTAATAAGAAATTTCACAGTTTAAAAAAACAAAAGATTTCATATGAGTATACTTTATCAATATGATTTTTTTAATGATATCAATCACACGCAAATTAGAACAAGAAATTATCGTATAGACTATTCTCTTATATGATCATTGATTATATATTTAAAAAATAAAATAAGAAATAATGTTAAACTTATTATATAGGATGTCCAGAAAATAATAAAACAAAAAAAAGTTTAAATACATATCTCTGCTAAATTTTAACCAAATGGGCTAATATTTTTACCATTGATAAAGGAGTAGAAATAGCTTATCTTCATAAGAGAAACGTTGCCAAAAATTGTTTTGAAGTAGTACAACTAACTTCAACAAAAAACTGACCTTTCACGAGTTATGAAAAATCAATATTACAGTTTTGTCAATGGTTGAAATTTCCAGAGTACACTGGATAACAAGACATGTATCTGTAATATAACTATGAGACAAAACAACACTAGTATGGAGGAGTAACCGAAAAAATTACATGCTGTTTATTCTTGGCTAAGGGAATAAATATATTGGTTTTTTCATAACTGGGGAAATATTACAGTTTCTCGTTGAAGTTAGTTGTGCTACTTCAAAACAATTTTTGTCAATGTTTCCCTTATGAATATGAGCTATATCTACTCCTTTATCAGTGGTAAAAATATTAGCCCATTTGGTCAAAATATGGCAGAGATATGTATTCAAACTTTTCTTTGTTTCATTACTTTCTAGACATCCTGTCTATATATATATTTTAGAAAAGTAAAAGTTCATTGTCGCGTTAAACATGAAAAATGTGACAATATTCTTTATAAATAAAAGCTGATAGAAATATTTTTTTAATACTATTGAAAATAAAGTTTGCATGAAAGGAAATACTCTGAATTAATTCTGCTTTTTGCTAGATTAATTTTATTGAAAAGAAATAATTTTTCATATGAAATCAATAAGCTCTAAGTATATATTCGACTAGATAAAACTTGAAAACAATTCATTCTTCCATTGTAGAAACAAAAAAAAAGAAAAGAAAATATTATCTTTTTAAATGTGTATAATGCATCGTTTAGAACACGGAGAACAAACGTATTCGTCCGACAAACAAACGGCTCTTGAAGATCGTTATTATAATAATCAAAGTTTTCAAGTTTGTTCTTTTTTTTTTTTTTGCTTTTTAATTTAATTATAATATAGAGTGATCTAAATGTCACTTTATTGAACAAAAAATATTGAATATTATCATCATAATTCAATAAAATAAGTTGATTCTTTTATTGTTAATAAAGAAGTATACATAGTTCATATTCATAAGACAATCATTGATGAGTTCTAGAGAAAAAAAAAGTACTTTTGAAACTTATATCTGTATGTTCATATCTTTTCTATCCTCTATATGCAAAAAGTTTTAGCCATACTAAGAATATTGAATAATTTTTCTTATGAATAGGAACTAAAAATACTTCTTTATTAATAATAGAAAGATTAACTTTTTGTGTCAAAAATATTTTTGTTTCGAATAAAATGACTTTTAAGATTATGGTGATATTCTTTAGGAGGATTATCCGGTTAATGATCCAAATGTAAACCATGCAGCAACAAAAATTCAAGCACAATTTCGTGGGCATAAAGCAAGACGAGATTTAGAAAAAATAAAACAAGAAGTTCGTAGAAAATCTAGGATTCTTTTGTTTTTGTTATTATAATAAATCTTCAATTTTTTAGCATCAACAAATAAATGATTCTGATCAACAAAAAACATCTTATGATTATGAACAATTAACAACAGGAAATGATGAATATCAAGTATTTGTTTTATATATTAAATTAATAAATATAATTTTTATTAATTATTATTTAGCAATCATCATCTGTAGCAAGTACACCTTTAAAACAAGAAAATGAATATGATGAAGTAAATTTATTTTTAATTTTGAAATAGATTGAAAGAAAAAATTGAGTTTTTTGTTTTTTGTAGAATATTGATGATGAAGAACTTACGGAGGAAGAAAAACATAAGCAAGAACGTGCTGCTATATCGATTCAAGTTTGTTTGTTCTTTTAATTTCTTCGAATTATACATTTTATTTTTTAGGCACAATTTCGTGGTTTTCAAGCTCGAAAACATCTACGAGACCCATTTGATCATACAGATGAAGAAAAACAATATTTTCATCAGGATCAACAGGTAATATTTCTATTAGAAAATGATTTCATTATTGTATGAATCTTAAAAGAAAATGATGAAAATTTATTGATATATAAAGATAATCATTGTTAAATTAATACTACTTTGATAACGGCATTTTTCTGTATGATTATTGTTAAATCAATTGAAAACAAATGGATGATTTATTTTCTTTTTCTTTTCATATTTTCATTAGTCATTCATTTAATCATATTGCTTTTTTTCAGGAATTTGACAATGATCATGACAAAACATCTGTATTATCATCAACGCGTTCTAGTGATCGTCGTGATCTTGGTGAAGATCTCAGATTACATGATGAGATTGAAATAGGTAACTATATATATATATACATATATCATTTATGCTAATATCATTATCTTTATATTATTCCTTTTCATTAACCGAAATGATATTTATTGTTGTTGTTCCTTTCCATTAGTTTTTGTATTGCCATGATAAAACACCGTATCAATATACATAAAAGAAGCAGTTCAGTATAAGAAATCTATGGGTTAGCGTTTTTTCCTGCTGTTATTGTTGAAGAGGAAAAGCTTCATCTAAGAATGATATATGGATAGGGAAACATTTTCTAGCAACACAACAGCATAACTTATCGATAGAAGAAAAGAAAAAAAAGAAAAAGAAGAAGAATATCAGCAGGATACAACTACAACGAATGTTGTTTATATTCTTTTGCATTCTATCAACAGACAAACAGACAGACAGATAGTTAGACAAAAAAGAAGAAAAAAAGAATTTCTTCTTGAGAAAATCATACGAGAGTATATACATCTGTTCATACTTCAACAACAAGATTTCCATAGGTAAGTGTCTGAATAGTCTTTATATATCATGTAAATATTATATGAACTAATGACTACAATACAATAAGAATTAATGCTTTAAATTGAATATTTTTATTTTCTTAATAAACAGAAAAACAAAAAAAAAAAAATAACTTTTATTATCTAGATGAGAAAAAACAAGTTTGATATATGATTGTCTTTATTATCAATTCTCGATGAATATTATTTTAGTAAATATTGTACGAAATTTTTTTTTTCGCTTGATTATCTAGAAAGTGTGTACTAGTTTCGTATTACGCTAATCTTTTGTCATCAAGGCAATTACACATGATGCAGAAATGCTTTCATTCTTTCCCGTAATATTGAGACATCGTTAGTTGCACAAGAGAAAAAAAAATTAGAGAAACAGCAAAAAAAGAAAACGACATTATACAGTTCTTCGTTGGTATAAATATCTATAAAAGAAACAGTTTTCAGCATTGATCATCGACGTCATATATATAGTGTGTTAAAACACCAGCCTATATATGACATTCGCTTTGTTGTTGAAGAAAATCTGCCTATAATACACAAGATATCGTTGGCATTTGACAGTATTACTACGTAGAATCTCGATAGTCGATAATCGATCAGATGAATTCTACCGATTTATCTGAGATAGGAACAGCTTCAAGAGGTTAGAAATGACGTCGTGATAAGTCAAATTATATGCCTACAAGTCGAAGTAGAAAGGTCACTATCTAGAGTGAAGATAGAAAAGAAAATTAATCAACTACAATCACCAAGAAAAACATACACATATAGAAATCAATTCTTTGACAAATCTTCAAAGATTGGAGACAAAGAAATAAGTATTAACAGAACTCCTAATAAATGTTATTGATTATTAACTAATATATTACTGTATTATTTAATTTATTATTATTTTTTTTTAAATGAATTATTTTAGACAAAAACAACAATACTGATCGACCACATCTTGAACGTGAACCAACACAATTAAGTGACGATTTTGAACTACATAAAGGTGTATTACGTGATATAAATTATAATCGAGAACATCAAGAAGAATTTATTAACGACGAAGACGATATGAGTGATCCAAATCTTGATAAGGCAGCTACACGTATTCAAGCATCATATCGTGGTTATAAAACTCGAAAAGAATTAGGTTCAGGCGGTGGTCATTCACCTATTAGTCATGATCAACAGAATCCATCATCACCTTCTCCAAAAACACGTAAAGAACATGATGATGCTCGTAACAAAAATAGTATGTTTCATTTGTTTATATATCATATTATATTCTTGATTTAGTTTTATCACCATCAGCTGAAGGTAATAAAGTACCAGCACATGAAGATGAAAGTGATAATGCAGCTGCTGTTAAAATTCAAGTAGATAATAAAAATGAAAATTTACAATTATTCGTTTGTTTATTTTTTTTTAAATTAGGCTGCTTATCGTGGCTATCGAGTTAGAAAAGATTTGGAAAAATAAAAGTATTATTTTTTTTTTGAAGATAGGTGTTTAAATGATGAAACCGATTCCACACATTAAAAAGACAAGACAAAAATTTATTTGAATTCTCTCGTTTATTTTCCTTTTGTTTTTCTAATCTCACAATATGATTTATTATGTTATAAGATTACGCATGTGTTTGTCTTTACTTTTACAAGAAATCTTGCTTTAGTATATGTATGTGTAATATATGTGCGTCTCACTTGTGCTTCCTTGTTTCTCTTTCTTTTTTTTTTATTTCTTACATTCTTGTTCTTTTTTTTCTGCGCTCTGTCTTTTACAGTGTCACAAGTGTTTCACACGAAAGTGATTTTAAATATAAAATTTTAAATATACTCTTAGATGAATACAGCAAAAAAAAACAAGAAAGTTAAATTAAGAATTAATAGATGAGATTTTGATTAACATGATAGCTGTCAAATGAGAAATGAACTTCACATAATTTTACCCCATTTTGATTCTCTACTCGTTTGTATAAAAAATTTTAAAATCAAAGAATATTACGAAATATTATAGGCTCGAGACTAATAGATAGTGTGTTAAAATATTATGTTTAAAAGTATTACAAATTTTGCAAAAATGAAATCGATTATGTATATTTGATGAGTAATTCACAGCTGTCGACAGCTAATACCCTGAAGTATTTGTTGTTTTGATGGACAATCTGAGACAAATATGAATGTTTAGAGTAATTAAGATTCATAGAATTATTCATGACGTATGTCAATTAAAAGTCATTGTTTGAGAAACTATTTTTAAAACTTTGATTACCACCTGCATTCAAATAAAAAGCAAAAGATGTCTGGAGTATGTATAGTAATCGAAGAAATTCATCATGAATAAAAATTTTTTTGGTTTCATTTGGATATTAATCCTAATCAAACCCTATATGCTTCACATATGTCTCAGATTGTTCATTGCAATAGTTAAGACTGTAGATCATTAATTCTTTACGGCTAAAAGTAAAAAAAAAACATCAATCTGACCTATGAAAGTTAACTAAATTATTGGTAAAATTGTGAGAGATCTATTCTTTATATAACATCTGATTTGAACACTCATAAAAAATCAGCAATGCAAATAGTAAGTATATATTACATGATGAATTGACCATGAACAAAGCTGTTTATAAGTGATCCATACCGATACATAATCGAGTAGACTTTACTTTTGTATTCAAGGATTAAGTTGTACGTGCGTGCGATTTCTAATAAAAAATATCAAGTATCTTAGTTTGCTATAGGACTATAAAAGTATCTTCGCTCTTCGGAAGGATTTATTAGTATTTTAGATTATTCAATACTTATGTTTTCTTGGCTGGTTCTTTCTAAAAATATTTCTTTTTTGTTATTTGATAAAAAAACAAGATAACGATAATCAAATCTTATCAGTTTATTATATAAAACTAATAGGATAGAAAAAAAAGTCATTTGCATCATGTGCTTGATTCGTCCATGTAACGATTTATTTTTGTAGGCGAAATTGAACTATCTAGTTAAACAAGATAAAAATGACCATCTTGTAAGACAATGTTCTATCGTAGAGAAAAATGTTATTAAAGAGTCATAGATTTTTATTTTCTAATTTTTTCATATAAATAAATATAATTTTTATTAAAGATGATCAAGCGTTCTAAAAATTCTTTGGAATAGATTCTTTAAATATAATAAAGAAGCTATTTACATTGAAAAAAAATAGTCCATTGGGAAAGGTGATTCCATCACAGAAAAACCTTCTAATTCATTTTTTAGTCAAAAACAAGATATTTCTGATCCTATGTATGGATGCTCTATCCAAAGAACTAATTAACTTGTTTTTTTTTAATGAAAATTTCAATTTCGTTAAAAAGTGTGTGGTAAAACCACCATCAAGTAATCAAGTTACTTTGTAATACAAAAAAAAAATTAGAAATCTCGTTCTTCTCTTATATCAGATATATGTTTAGATAGACAAAGAGATTTTAGAACCTTAATGCCTAATTTTGCAGTTTGTTTATGACAGTTCCGAGTTATTTTTCTTATCAGAATTGACAGCAGTATTTCAGTGCTAATACCTAGATATATATGGAACCAAAAAATAAAACATTACCAGAACTCGGATCAAAAAATCCTTGATCCTGTACGTGTCTAGCAATATCATATATGTACTTTATGTTGTCGTAACAAAACTTTTATGCTATCAGAAAGATGGTAAAAAAATGTTTTTCTCATGATTGGTCTCTGATAAATGATACCAGTGTGTTTATCCTGAAGAAATAAATGATGAGAAAAAAATGACTAATTCTTAAAACGTGATTTCATTAAGAAGTCTTTTCTTTTCGTAAAAGTCATTCTTTTGTAGTTTTCAAATTTTCTTTCATTCCATATATAGCGGGTGATCTAAGCTGCAACTTCCTCACAGAAAATTTTTCGGTTCTTTATACGAGGATCAAATAAGATTTCCATTTTAAGTAATCCTGTTACTGTCTGTATTTCAATTATAAAATTATAAACGAAATTTCAAGCCTAATGAAACTTTTAAGATATAAAAAACTATTCTACGTAAATATGTTCTGAACATTTCAGCTTTATTTGCCTTCATTCTGTTAAGATATTGAAAAAAAACATGGACAAGTCGCGCCATCTTTTGAATATTCAATGAAAATATATTCGGTCGTATTTATTGATATATAGAAAAGACTTGCTCTGTGGAAAAGATTTTAGCAACACATCAACTGGTTCGAAATTTTTGATCTTGTACTGACTCAATAAAAATCACATCATTCGAACGAGCATGAAAAGCTGAACAAAACGTTATAATTTTCTTGGAGACATACTTCCATGTCTCCAACAAAAGTTTTTAAAATAGATTTTTCAGTAGAAACAGCAAAGATCTTTCGTTCATTTTATTTATATATCTCTCTTTAAATAACCTACTGTTTTTTCATAATCTCGTTTTTATCGTTCTGCTAGACGTGTATACGAACATATAAGCTTCCACATATATTATGTCTAATTGATAGTGAGAGAAAAAAAATCTTGTCATACTGCTCGTGGGGTGATAATGATATTTTAATTTAAATCAGAAACAATTACTAATTTAAAAAATTCTTCTGAATAAAAATAAAACACTTATACGGAATCATATTTGATTATTATTTTGAGAAAAATATTCATTTAAAGACAGAATATTTGAAGCCTTATTTATCGTTGAAAAATATTTCTATTCAGTTTCTAATCATTTTATTCTCTTTATTGATTCAAAAAAAAATCAATCTCTCTTGTCTTTACTTCTATTGAAATAGATTACCGATAAACATCATGTTTGAAATGTTCAAGCTCAATATTTTATTACTGTCAATATTCGATAAGAGATCTCTTCGAAAAGAGCACGTGTACAATAGGAAATACTTTACTATGTATGTCAAGTAAAACGATGAAAACGAGATTACGTAAAAACGTTGATCATTAAGAGTGAGAGAGATCGAAAGATTCTCGCTATTTCTACTGGAAAGTCTATTTTAAAAAAGTTTTGCTGCAGACTTCCAAGTACGCCTCGGAGAAAATTATAACGTTTTGCTCAGCTTTTTATGCTCTTTCAAATGATTTAGTTTGTATTGAGTCGACATGAGATCGAAAATTTCGAATCAAGTTGATATGTATCATAAATTTATATAATTGTCATGATCACTACCAATATTTTGAATTAAAACAAAAAGATTTATTGTGTATTAGGTTAGTAAAAATTCTTATGTTTAATTGCATATAAAGGATGTTTCATCAGTCTTGAGATGTAACATTAATTAGTTTATATGCAAATAGAAAAGAACTTCTAACCGAATGTTTTTATATGAGCTTTGAGTACCCGTGTCAATCTTTCAAGTAATATATATTATTGGATAATATCGTTTGTACATGAGAATGTGAGAATAAATTTTTCGCAATTGATCAAAATGATATTTTATTTAAAAAAAAAAGCAAAAAAAAAACTTCTATATTAATCTGATTACACAAGTTCATTTAAATATGACACATTTGTTGTCTACCACGTTGTATTAATTTTAATTTGTCAAGTCTTCTAGAAATTTTATCAATCATTACAAGTGTTTTTTTCAGTTTATTAATTTTTATTTGTTTAAAGCGTGAAACTTGTCCTCTTCGTACTTTCTTCTTTAACATTCTCCATACACTTTCAATGGACTATACATCAGCAAATTTAGCGTCACCTTCTTGAGGTTAAAACTCAATTATTAAATAATTCATCAATAGGTCAAAGTATAATCATTGTTCTTTGTATTTCGTTTTGTACACGATGTTTTTATATGTTTTATCCGTTTCAATTCGGTTACTGATTACATAGCTCTATTGAAGATGTAACTAGTGGATTGTGACGAACGCCGAATAATCGAATAAGATAAATAATTATTGGCTTTTACTGCGCTATTTTTTATGTAGAATATGTTAAGCACTTTATTAAAAAGTCATGTTCATATTTTGAACTGGTCAGATTTTTTTCAATTGGACCAGATCAACCGGTTGAAACTGTTGAATTAACTATCGAAAAACTGGTAAGTTCAATATATCAATTAAACAATCAGTTCTTTCGAAAAACAATCTATTATTTCAGTTCTACGAAGACATACAATGTAAAAACTCATATAATTCTTGGAGTTTCTAATAGTAGCAACTCCTATGATAAATTTGATCTATTCTTATTTAAAATAATTATTTAACACAGATGAAAAGCATCTCAACTGGTAAAAGGATACTATTGCCGATAGTAAGATAGTATGATTTTTATATGAAACTTCCTATTTCAAGGTTTTTTTTTTTAATATCGAAATGTTTTTACAATTACATGATGCGAGTATTTGGTAAGATCTTGACAATAGAATGGAATTTTTCTGATATTTTGTAATGAAAACATAAACTGAAAACAACTAGCCATTGAGATTTAATGAGAGTCGGTTAAAAATAGTCCAGAAAAGTGTGCTCGAAATTTCGAGATGAAAAATCTTCAGTTTAGATCGAAGTT